AGATTATATACTCAATATAGCATTTTACAGTAATGGCTTTAAATATGGCAAGCAAGTTTCGAAGAAAATATCAAGTAGTGGAATCAGTGTTTTCTATATTGAGTAGATTGATTAATGAGGTTAGGTTATAAAGAGGGATATCAAAAGTGAGTATATCAGTGATATAAAGTTGATTTTGGAATACTTGATGAATATATACAATCAAGGTTTTATATATCTTGGTTTCAGAAATAGATGTATTAGAGTTGGTATTATTGAGTATAGTTAATGAATTTGTTATATCGGTTATTGTAATAGTTTAAATTGAAATCGGAATCAAAATTATTAAATTAAAATCGTCATATATAAGTAAGTATAATCAAAGCTGGGCTGTTATTAATAATAAAGCTTTTTAAAGGATTGAATATATTATTATAGGATTGATATAGGTTTTAGTGGATACTAGATAAGATATATAATATTCGATAAGGAGAGAAGAAGGCATGTGGAACAATGCTGACTATATGATAAATAGATGCCTAAGGCATCCATCCGAGTTAGCTAGGAATGGGTAGTAAGGATGGTAAGGATGGTAAGGGTGGTAAGGGTGGTGAACCCGTGACATTTATTCATTTATTCATTTATTCATTTATTCATTATATTTATTTAATGATTTATACAATAACTACTATAGTAGTAGATTAGAGTTAAAGTTACTCGAGTAATATTAATAATATATTCTAAAATAAGTATAAATTATTATTAATACTTAAATATATTATATATAAATATAATTATTAGATAAGAGATAAATTAGAGATAATAGATAATACTCGAGTATCGATCGCTTCTAGATTACTAATATTATATCAAAAAGCTAGTATAATATAGCTTACTTGTTTTATTTTATTTTATATATACTACAATATTATATTGATAAATTGAACAAAGTAAGTAAGATAAGCAAAATATTTGGATTGGAGATTTTTTGGAGCATATACTGGTAGGTTGTCATTCTGGTCTGGGACTATTCCTATCGTGTTGCCTGTGTTGGTAGTAGCTAGGTATGTTTTGCGGAGTAAGTAGTCTTACTAGTACTTTCTCATGTGCCAGTGATATCTTAGTATTCTTATAGTAGAGAGTCGAGTTAGATACCAAAATAAGAAAAATAACCCAAAGATTCTTTACTTTGGGCTGGGGTACCGGTATTGCTTTTTCTACTCGAGGGATTTATCTCTGGTGACTTTGTGTTTTTATTTGTATTTGGGTTCCGATCGAAATCACACTCACAGTCATACCGAGAGCAAAGCTATTTGAATCACAGCACATGTTCCGTCAAGTGGTACATTCGGAAATACGGTTAAATCATATGTATTCTTAAACTTTTGATCTCGCTAGATATCTCTAATATCGTGATCTAAGAAATAGTCTTTTCAACCAATGTAATTCCGTATTTCTTCAATTCCTCCATTAATGGGTCGTTGATCTTGGAGGTCATTGGTGCCAGAATACCCTTCTCACTAATCGTTCCATCAAGAACTTGCTTGACAGCAACACCACATGGTACACCGACCAATTTTGCCATGGCCGAGTATCCCTTTGGATCACCGTATTCCACTAATGTGGATGTACGAGTCTCCTTCTTTCCATCCTTGTGCTCAATCTCAAACTTGTGTTGCAACAAGACGAAATCACGCTCACCCTCTTCGAATTGCATCTTCTTCTCAAGAGTGGCACAGAGAGTATCGAGAGGGTTGCCGCGGGGAATGATCTTCTCATCGGAGAAGATACCAACCCAGCTAAGACCGTTCATGATACGTTCCTTTTCTTCAGTGCTCTCGAATTTGGCCTTGGAAGCAATTGCCCACTTCAAATCCTCCTCGGAGCTTGATGATGCTGCAAGAACCTTTTGTGTGGCCTCCTTCCAGGAAATTGGCTTGGAGAATCCTTGGTCTTCATCACTCAAGAATCCCATATCAACCAAGACACGGATGAATTCTGGGAAACCTTGATATCTCAAAGTACCTCTAATGATAGTTTGTGCTTCGGGGATGTTGTAACGTTCCTTGTAAGGAGTAGAATCTCTGTTTGGGTAGGCGACAAATGCGTATCCTGGGTAGATGAAGTATGGCTTGGCGGTACCCATCAACTCTGGACCGGCAACATCAACCACCTTTCCATCTCTATAGAATCTTGCAGCATTTCTCAAAGCCAACAAAACACCACGGGAGGACCAAGAGAACTTGTAACCGAGAGGATTGTCTGAAGCTTCTGGAGCTGGAAGACCTCCACAGTATGACAAGAAAGATAGAATCTTTCCACCAGCCTTGTGTACCTCCTCAATTGTCTTAACAGCATACAAGTGATCGATTCCTGGATCCAAACCAATCTCGTTCATAACTGTGATACCAGCATTCTTGGCGTCCTCGTCCAACTCCATCATTGCTGGGGAAACATAACTGGTTGTGACGACATTCTTCTTGTTTCGGATGGCAGATTTGATGACGGTAGCGTGGAAGGTATATGGGATCAAACTAATGACCAAATCATTCTTAGCAACTTCGGCATCGAGAGCTTTGTCGTCTGTAACATCGAGGGAAATTGGGTGAGCATTCTTCACTCCTTCAGAGAGCTTCTTGGCACTTTCGAGAGTTCTGCATGCTAAAAAAAAGTTTAGCTTGATACTAAGAATAGTAATTGAGTATTATATATACCAACAGAAACTTGAATGCCTGCTTCACTGAGGATATCCAAGGTTGGGCGTGTAACGAAGCCCGCACCGAGCATAAGAACTTTCCTAAGATGAGAGTTAGATTGAAGGAGCTTTGAGAAGATTGAGGTTGAGAGGGTGAAAACGCTTACTTTGATGCAAATCCAGCCATGATGTCTAATAATTTGGTTGAATCTTATTATGAGAATCAAACTGTGTATAAATATTAAATAAAAGCTTGAAACTTTACTTCACTTTACTTCACTTCACCGAACGACTCAGAGGATTGAATTCTTTGGTGGGGTCGATCCGTAATCGGCCACAGCACAACATGGCGTGCATGATAAAATCCGCGGATTTGTGAGAGATCAACATTGATTGTATTATTGATCAATCATAATTCTGTTGAATAAAAACCGATATTTCTGTTCGTCTATTCAGATTCTCAACCTCATTTCTATTATGATTTTAGTATTATTTCTATGATAATATTGAGGTTTCTACACATATGTTTGCATATTACCAACAGTGAGGTCAAGGATGATTTTGATGTCCCTCACTAAACCTATAATGGACACTAGCTTACTCCAAAGCTCATTTTAGCGCCATTCAAAAAAGAACACTTGTTAAAACCGTGAAAGTTCTTCACTTCTCTTTTCTTTCCTCTTCAACCTCAACCTCAAGCTTTTAAAGCTTCGTTGTCAACAATTTCAACATCTTCAACATCTTTTGTACCGCACAATAATTATGTCGGCAATGGATGTATTCTGGGCAGCTCCGCCTATTTCAAGGTATGCGCAATTCAATCTACGAATGCGCCGCCAATTGATACTGATGCTGATGATAGTTTAGGACTTTGGCTGCTTCTATCTTAACACTTTCAATTTTGGTCTACACTCATCTTCTACCTGGGTATTATGTAGTATTTTTGCTTCAGCCGATACTCCAATTTCCGCCTCAGTTATGGCGACTAATTACATCATTTCTCATCACCGGCCCAGATTTGGGTATTTTGTTCGACACATACTTTCGTAAGGCTTGGGAGATCGCAATACAATCAAGGCAGATTGACTTACATGACAACAATAGTATACACTTATGGAAGCAAGCTTGAAACAGCTTCGCCTAGATTCTCTCAACCAGGAGATTTCTTGACATATGTATTGTTTGTTTGTGCGACGATCTTGGTAGGCATATCTTTTCATACTCTGTGTTTCTTTTTTGTTCATACCCCACCTCTATACTGCCCGTTTAGTGCAATGCTCTTAGCTACAACGGTTCCTAAAACGAGGAAGATTACCCCTACATCTAGACTGGTCCGACATTCGCAAAACAACAACATAGGATCAGTTGCGGTGTAGGCATGGTGGGAAGTTCCTATGAGAAAACTCGTGTTGATTCCCCAACTTAACTCGGGTGGTTGTGACTCCCTACATTTCAAGACATTCATTAAGAGGTTGATACTTGGTGTTTCTATTTCAAAGAGATGCCTTGTAAAATCTCATCTAACAAATGCGCAGGGATTGAATGCGTTGATAACTGGCGGGGTGATCTTTACATCGGCATTGGTATTGGCTTTCGCATATACGGCGACACAAGATGATCGTGGCATGAAAGCTACTTTCTTCGTCATTACCATACCAGCACAATGGATGCCATATGCCATGCTTCTCATGACATTTGTGATGGCAGGTCCTGCTCAAGCCAAGGTTCAAGCTACAGGATTGGTTGCGGCACATTTGCATGATTTCTTGACAAGACTTTGGCCTACGTTTGGTGGCGGAAGAAATTTCGTTCCAACACCAGGATTCATCAAGAGACCTTTTCAAACAACTCGAGCCACCACTACTGAAAGAACGTATGGTACTGCGGTCGCACCAGCACAACGATCTGCGGATACTGGCTCTACTACTGGTTCTTCTGGAAGTATTCTACCTGAATCATGGAAGAGTCGTGGATCAGGACACAGATTAGGAGGTGAATAATTGATTGGGGTAGTTTATGTTGTACTATAGGTAGTTGTATGCTATTGCAGCCTTCAAATTGAAAGAATAATATTCGCCCATGATGGCATTCTCATATATACTTCTGTACTTTCAATCGTGATTTTCTTGTGTGTAATCCGATGCTGTGTGTGCTTCTGTCAAGATATTTAGACAGTGACTATGATTTCGTTTTAATTTATTTTGTCATATGTCCTCCACGTCCTGCGGTAGCTGCGTCAATTGATACCACTCAACAGGGTCCGAGAAACGCCTCTCCCTTTCTCCTCCCCTTACTCACAATAGGTCTCTTCTCTTCTATTATATTACACTTCTATTATATTATACTGTTATACACAACAGGAATCATTTAAACTATTCACAACCAGTCTATATTTAATTGTACATATATATATATATACACATACAAATACCAGTATAGTATAGTATGCCCATCAACGCAACACGAGTATCGCTGTATTGCTGTACGGCTACTAGGTAAGTCAATAGCTTCTAATAGCATCTATATCACTGCCGCTTAGTTTAGTTCGGATTTTTTATTTGTTGGTTTTTTGTTTTTGGTTGGTTGGTTGGTTGGGTGTATTGGAGTGTGAAAGGGAGTAGTTGGGAGTTGGGGTTGGGGGAGGAGTTGATGTTGAGGGATTTGGTGTTATCTATTAAAGCTACTAGATTTCCCGATTGGTTCAAACTCCTGGCTACACTGGGTATGAGTAGGAGTATGAGTAGGAGTATAAGTACGTGAGCACGAGCTGCAGATGTTCTGTTTTATGTATTGAGGATTTGGGGTTGGGGTTAAGGTTGGATAGGATAGGATGAGAGAGTGGGTGAGTGGGTGGGTATATGGAAAGATTGATGATGAGTGATGAGGGATGAGGGATGAGGGATGCGAGATGCGAGATGAGGGGTTAGGGATAAGGGATAATTGATGATGAATGATGAATGTTGAAGCGGGATGAGATGTTAGGAATAAATTGATACTTAGTGCTTCCTGGCAGTGGGTGAAGTAGTGAGAGGAAGTGGGAGGAGTGAGAAAAGTGATGTATGGTTTGATGCCAATGAAGAATTGAGGGCGAGGGAGAAAGAAGTGAAGGGTTTGTTGGTTGATGTTATTACGAGTAGAAGGGGAGAGGGAAAGAGGGAAAGAAGGGAAGAAATGAGGAAGGAAGAAGAAAATCATTGTTTATATAATGGATGGGGTAGAGAAGGGGGGAAAAGAGAGGTGGAAAGCAGAGACTACCGGTACGATGAACCGTGAATATATTAAGTATAGCAGGGTCGGGATGGAGTTTTGGGAGAGGAGGGCTAAGTTGAGAGGTTGTTTTGTGGAAGAATTGAAGGTGGTAGTAAAGAGTGTTGTATAATTAACAAAGCTGATATGGTTATGGTGGCAAGGAAAGAGATGGAGTGGAAGTGATTGGGAAAGGAAAAGGAAAGGGAAAGAATCATTGATTGTCGTTGTATAGGCGTTCATGTCGAGGTCTAGTACGAGTATAAAAACATGTTAGAGGTTATCCCCTAAATTATATGGTATTTATATGTTTATTTATTTATTTACACTTTACACATTACAAAAACAGAAATCCAAGTTCAATCAATCAAAATCATTCTACTGAAAAAGTCCATAAATAACCAGGGCTTTCTAACATTTACATTCACCAAAGATTTCTGTAGCTGAATCAGGTAGGTCCTGGGATATCAGAATTCAATATCAGTATCGATATCCTCGAAACTGGAGTTTCAGGAATGGAATGGTAAAGAGATGATATTATTAGCTTATTCTGGACTGGACTCTTGAAATGGCATGGCAGTACGTACGTAAATTTGAAGTTTCGTGGTAGTGATGATGCGATGTGATACAGTGCTTTGATGAATTTTTGTGTTTGTAAGGCTAGATAGTATTCTAGTCTCTAGAGACTAGATTGTACTTGGAGAGATATAATATAGTCAAAAGCTTCCTTGTACTCGAGAATACTGAGTATATATTTCTCTGTAGGATATGAGTCTCCAAATATGCACAGTAAATACTAAATAGTAAATACTAAATATACATCTCGGTATGATACTATGGACTTTCAGATTTCATTTGTAGACAGAAAATAGGGGAATCGTGTAACGATATTAGACTACTCGCTAGTACTCCACATTGAAACTTGTATATGATTTCCAAGATTCGCTTCCCAAATCCCGGCAGGATAGGAGAAGGGATGAGGCATGAGGAACTTGAGGTTAGTGGTGTGTATATAAAGATAGAAAATAAAGTAAACTCAAGTACATGTATCTGTTGTTTAAAGCATTCCAAAACAATTGCATGATGGTGTTTGGGGGAAAAGAGGAATCTGGAAGCTCGAGATATGGGGATGCGGGCATGGGAGGATGAGAGAGCTTCTTCGGATTCTTCCTTTATTTGAACTGAGATTTCGATGACGACGAAGGAGAATCAGGGAGGGAGGGGAATGATGATTGGATATTTGGAATAATGATTGTTGTTTTTACCGAGTACTGTTGTTGAAAGGATCGATATATAACCTGAATATAAACATCGAAGGACAGCTAATCGGGCTATAAATAAGTACAAAATGATCTAATGACACTACAACCAACTCCGTTACATCTACCCTATGCACCAGAAGAAGGACTGCTGTGAAGATATGACATGGACATTTAATCCTCAGTTTACACCTTGAGTTATGGAATCTGTAAAGCCAATCCGATTCCTGAGGATCTTTTATACTCAGGCTGTGTAGTTTTATCCTGGAAGAGGATTTGAAGAGGGGTTACTATTGTGTTATATTATATAAGGTCTTCTCCTCACATCATTTCGAAACCGCTGTATGATTGTATTTAGGGAAGTTCTACAATGTAATGGCCTCTGGAGCTGCTTTGCAGGTACTTGTTTGGAAGCTTTGCTGATATACTTAAATATTAGTGATAGAAATATATAGATGATAATAAGACAACAACCTTGGAGAATGACAAGACTTTCTTTGAACTGCAGTTGACAGTAAAGAATAAGTAGCTGGATTCGAAATAAAGTATATGATACAACGAGACTATTAAACAAAATAGTCCATTCTTCTTACTTACTTCCCAAGAGCAAAACTTTGGGCCGGTGAGAGATTCCTAGTCATACAGGTCTTATTCATATTATTCGAATCTTGACCTCGCGGATTGAATGATTGTACTATAATCCCCAAACTCTCTTTGTAGAAAGTTTTTATACTCAACTTTCATAGCTTGCTCGTACTCGTACATCGAGCTATGAAAGTGAATCATCCCATACTCATACACTAACTATAAAATATCATAGATCTTTAATTTTCACCCGTACATTCTGACCAACAGTATAACACATATTTCGAACTAAGAAGCAGATGCATATGCCTATAAATTATCTTCCTCTCTTATGGTATAATCAATAAGTCAACTACCCCACTTTTCGGCCACCCTCAAAACCCACACCGCCTCAGCAACCTACCTTCTTAAATATTTTCTGATTAAACAACCATTCAATCAATTGATTTCAAATTTTGATTTATTATTATTTATATAATATCGAAACTCTATATTGAAAACAATATTGCTGCAGTTTTAAATGTTATTGTAAATAGTGTTTCAATGCGAAAAGCTGCTTTGGAATATGGGATTCCTTGTATTACACTTCAGAATCGTATCAATAGCTATGTATTCGATCAAAAAGATTCCGAAATGATACAAAAGATTGTTCTGATTCAGGAGAGATATTTAGTGGAATAGATATTAGTACAAGAGAGCTTAGATACTAGTTTTACTTATTAGCAAATTCGAGAAATTGTTGAATATCTCCTCGATATAAAAGAACTCGATTCTATCCTTAGAAAACAATGAATATACAATTTTTTGGAGAGAAATCCAGAGATTAGAATAAAGAAACAATATAGAATCGACTCTACCCGAGTTTCGGGTGCTTTCTATAATATTATTGCATCATAGTTTCGAAAACTTGAATTACCTGAGATTATCAATATAAAACCACAAAATCGATACAATATAGACGAGGCTAGTATAATGGAGGGTTAGGGTCTTAACGGTCTAGTAGTAGGAAGCTTTCAGCATTATTATATTAAAAAAAAATCAACCTGGTTCAAGAGTTTGGTCATCTTTTATCAAATGTATTTCAGTAATAAAAAAGGCTTTTAAACTACTTGTTATTTTCAAGGAGAAAATTGTTTAACAACAATGGTTTTTCACTAATCTTGGTCTTTATAAGAATTAGAATTTCATTATTATAGAAAATGGATGGACTATCAACGCTATAAAATTAGAATAATTAGAAAAAGTATTTATATCTCAAACTATCCCCTCTAAACCCAGTAATACACAATTATTTATATTGGATAGGTATGGAAGTTATAAAACTATACCCTTCATATACAAATGCTTCGAATACAATTTATATCTTCTATTCCTACCACTACATACATCCCATATCCTACAATTATTAGATTTATCAGTCTTTTCACCTCTGAAAAATACCTATCGATATATGCTCAATAATTTGAATTCTCTTTCTGATTTTATACTAATTGGAAAACATAACTTTCTTTATTGTTATCAAAAGGCTAAAGCAAAAGTTCTAATAGTCCATAATATCAAAATGGGATAGAAAGTATTAGATCTATAGCCCAAAAACTGTACTAAACCTTTTATAAATCAATTATTGTTTGAAAACAATAATCAAAAGGTTTTATTGACTAATCCAGTATCTGATAATAATCCCTAACTTTAATAGAATATAAGAATATCAGCTATTATTTGGAAAACCCCTCAAAAAGTATTTGATCTTCGATTATATATATCGACTATGATCCAAGAAAAAGAGCCTGATTTGCCAACAAGACGGTTGCTTTTTTGAAAGATTATTAAGGCTTTTGATATCAAGGATTATAAATTTATGGTATTGGAGAAACGAATAAAGCAATTGGAGTATCAATTGGAGGTAGTTGTATCTAAGAAAAGGTGTAAGGTTGTGATTAGTCCAAATATTAGATTTACAAGGATTAGAGCTATTAAAGAGATGCAAATCGTGGCTGGGGATTGTAGAATTATTGCAGAGGATAGCAATGATACAATTGAAAGTGATGGTACAGGCGATTTTATTTTAATTGAATAGTTATTGAGTTATATGGTTTGTGAGATAGAGAGTTTTTTTTATTGGATAGCCGAAAAGGGGGGGTGGCCGAAAAGTGGGGTAGTTGATTTACTGTATATAAATCAAACTAGCTGAATTATATAGGCTTGAGAACTGTAGCATAGAGTCTAGATAATCTACGAAACTTTGTTACAGATATTGATATCTACATCATGATCAGTGTACCACTTTTACTCTGATAGTATTGATATAAGAAACAGCGGAGAAATATCTACTTAACTCTTCAGGAATACAACTAATAATGCTCCAAAAAAAGAAATCTTTAGAAACAGTAAAAACAGAAAACCTTAACTTAAGAAAAATAACAACAGCATCGACTCTACAAGAATATAATTGATAACATAACATACCATACCCTAGTATAATACATTCATTGTATACCAAACGGATCCGAGAGTAACGCAAGACTTATAGTAACAAGATCATAATATGCGAAGAATCAGAATACAGTCCTGCGCTCTATACACAGGGCTTCTGAGTTTCTCCTGGGTTTCTTGCCCTGCGGTGTGCCTGATTTTCTCCTGCTCTGTGTATACTTATACTATATCAACTGTGAAAGTCCTACTATATATACGTTTCGGTCCCCATCGTTATTGCAGCTATTCGGTTACCTACACACTCTCTAGAGCCTAAATGACATTATATATATTAACTACAACCCCTCACCCCCCCTTCTTCAACCCCCTACCCCCTCTTCTTATACCTTTCCACACAGTATATATCTATCTATCCATCTATCTAGTCGCGATCTACTCCACAGAACCACTAGAATCCCAATCTCAATCCATTATATATATCATAACATATCACTTCTTAGTAACTCATGAATCATATCTCCAACTAGTCATCGTGCATATATAGGCGTGACTAAATACTGTAGCCTTTGCTTTATTTTATACCGGCTGGACGAAGTACTGTAAGTATCTAAAACTTCTAAATAGATAAATAACTACAAGCCACGAGTTTATATCTAATATAATAAACATTACTCCACCCCATAAATAATTAGATCGTGTAGGTTATGATATGAATCAGATGACTTGCTCTAGCTTTTTGGAAGTTCTGGTTCTATATATATATATATATATATATATATACGTATATGCGTAGTACCGTGCTGTATACTTACCTGTTTTACTTGGCAAGGATAGAGAACTATGGATTGAGAAGTAGGATCGAGAAATAGGATTGAAGAGGCTTAGATGGAATGTTGAATAGGATTCTGGCTAGATGAGGTAGGATTTGAGATAACAAGATACATGAACCGAGATATACAGAGGAGAAATGGCAGCGACGGTGATGATGAAGATGACTTTGAATATTTGAATATGATTAGAGACAATGATCCTTTCAATTTCATAGTATCCTATGGACTTTCGGATGATAATGATAATAATAACAATAATAGCGATAATATATTCACAACTTACTCGAGTAGAAATCTCACATTATACACATCCGAACTCCAACTCAAAAGTAAAAGTAGAAGGAGAAGAAGTGACTATAGTACTCGACTATACGAGTACTATTGATAGACTTGCAATGCAACTAAGCAGTGACGTCCAAATCTAAATCCAATTTCTTTTCTTTCAATGAAAATAATATACTGATTATAGAAAATAGCTAAGTTGCTTACTTAACCATCAGAATCACTGAACCAGAAAGAACTATCATATGTAGTTATACTCGAGTATATACTGTAAGTAGCCTTTTTCATTACATTGCGATGCATTTCAACGTGAAAATACTCGTTGTGCTCCTTGTGCTAGTCTTCTCGAATCTCGAATCTCGAACCTCGATCGTAGTGAAGTTGAGGTGATGTTTTCGGGCATGGAAGAGAGAGAAGAGAGTGAATAAATATATATACTCTTATGAACTTAACTTAACTTAACCTGACTTAAGAAACTTCATCCTCCGCTCTCAATATATACGAGTAGATAGATACGAATGACTTCTCAGCAGAAGTCTGAAGCTATACACGCACGCTTATCCGAGCGACTTCATGCTTCCGTTCATTCACTCTGTTGTCGCCATACATATATAGTACTCGAGTATAGTCCCCAGTACTCTGCTTGCTAATACTGCTTTCTTTGACAATGATTCCTTTTTGTATATATCTATGCCTCACTCTCGCATACGGGTATGTCATATACTGCACTGCACAGTTCTTTCCACACATGCACCGTACAGTGCAGTGCGATACAGCACAGTCTCGATAATATAATCGCACAATCATGCCATCTCATTTTATTTTCTCGTCATCTAATTTCACCTCATCTCATCTCATCTCATCTCAGGATAAATATTATATCGGGGCCCGTCCGAGTACGAATTACATGCTGAGCGGTAAAGTTGTACCGGTATGGTATATCTTCCGTTTCTGGAAACGTAAAGATAAGTGAAGATATCCTTCATCTTCATCTTCGAATGCAATGCAATGCCAGGAATGGAATGGTCTGAAGTATGCGGATACAGAAGAATGCGAGGGTCTTGGATGGCTGAATGGCTATCTTGATGCATCGAGTAGGAGACTAGGAGTTGGCTATCCAAAATAATTCTGTGGACACTTTTGGACCTTGGACGAGGATGAATATTGTATAGTGGATTTGTGTTGTACGTCAATGGTTCATGAGTGATTCAAATCGCGAAGCCGTAGTGGATTTTGAAGCGAGCCGAATATAATCGAGGTGGATGGACGGTTTGTACCTAAGTAACAGGACGTGTTGGTCGGTAGGAAACTCCACTGATCAGGTTTTGTCAATATCAAAGTGCCCGAATCATCGTGACCGAAAGAAAGGAAGTCAGATAAAAGAGAAGAAAAAAAAATCGCGAACCGTCCCGAGTTTAAAGGTTTACCCCCAATACATATCTCCACCCAACACCCACCCACCCATCTCCCGAAGCACCGGTTTACCACCAATCGACTCACCACTTCCCACCCCTCCATCCCTCCCAAACCAGTAATCTCCCATCCTAAACCAGTAATTCCTCATTCCCCCTAAACCCCATCCACCTAATCCATCACATCCTTTCTACACCCCCCTGTCCCACCTCCGAAATCTAGCGTGACACGTACCGAAATCCGCAAAGGACGCGCGAAAATATGATGTGAGGTAAGGAGAAATATACCGAGGATATTGAGATGGGGGCCGAAATTTGAGCTGACCCGTGGATTTTGAGATGGGCAACCAATTTTTTGGAGAGAGGGATTGTTGGGTGGGGATTGGTTGGGGAGGGGGTGATTTCGGGTTGTGTGTTTGTGTTTGTTGTGGCTGGACCGAATTATCGGGATTATGTTACAGTATTGGACTCGGGTGTTTTCCGAGAAATGATTTGTACTTTCTTGGAGGTTCGGAGGTTCTGTCTGATTGTGTGATTGGAATCTTAAAGAGGCTGAAGGACGAGCAGTCAACATCGGCATTGAATAGCTTTTGGAAAATTAGTGTTATACATCAATTCAGGTCTTTATTCAACTCACAATGGCGTGTGGATTTACTCGTAGATGTGGACTGCCGATTGATCGACCGGTTTGGCGTGACAGTTTTTGACTTGTACCCCTAACGAATGAGCGAAACCGAACGAATTTTGATGTACCGAGCCGCTCGTTTGCAACATATTATTTTAATCATCCCAATCTAATAATCGTTAATAAAAAAATGTACTTAAAAATAAACGCCGAGGTGTTAAGGCGACTCGAATCACGAGACTTGAAAGATTACGAACGGGTCAAGGTTGACCCTGAATTCGACACCTTGAGATCTGTCTACTCTCAAGATGAAACGATGTGATCGCGAAGAACTTCACCTGTAGGTTTTTGCGTTCACTTTGCATTGCAGAGGAGAAAAAGTTGACAGCAGGAATTAGAGTCGAAACTTCGTTCATGGCAACGTAATATATTGTTTTGGTGGAACTAAGGATGGCAGCTACTGTCGAACTTGTTTCCATAACAGATTCTGACGAAACCGATCAATTCTTCGGACTTCTGGCGTTGACTAATGGAGGGTCGAGCTAACCATTGGCGAGATGTGACCTCAATTAGATTGGGCTGACCTTGCTTGAGAAACAATCTTCGCTTTAGGATGTTCGTTGGTATCGACGATCAAGAGTTCTTCCTCGCCTCGTCCAAGAAGTCCATATACTCTGACTTCGCCATTTTTGATACCTAGTACTGCGCTCGTCCCCGCATATGTTGCTTCACGTTCAGTTCCACATCGATTAGCAAGAACAATGATAATTTCCCCTGTGACGTCGGCTCGAAGAATGGGTTCCAATCTGGCGATCCAGTACGAAATTGTTTCCATATCAGGTTCTTTTGCTAATAGACCAAAAGACTTCTGATCCTCTCTTGTAAGCCAAGCCATTGATAACATGACGATATTTGCTTGTTTGTGAAGTACGTGGTAGGCAAATTCATAAGCATTCCATGGAGCTTCGAATTTATATGGGTTTAGATCCATGCCTATGAGATATGAAGGTTAATGATTGTTTACTAGCAATCTTAGGAGTGTAGAAATAGAACTATTCACGCTCAAAGAAAGTTATTGGCCACTTACAAATTCCAATTGCTACATTCCCTAGTCCATCAATGTGACCATTAAAGAAGCCAGACCCTTCATGAGCCCAAGTTTCATCCGTATAGTACAGGAATGATTTTCGGTAGTTAGCCACAATCTTTCCCTCCTTATTCACGGTGAGCGTAGAATTATAGTACTCTGGTTTTGCTGATTCACTTGAACAAGGATCAACCTTTTCTGGATAACCAACTGTAACTATACAATTGTGCTTGAGAGCTGTCTTTTTTGCCCACAATGATGTGGTACCAAAAGTAGCAAACTCGAGATAAGGAGTGATATGTTTCAGCGAGGAAAAGTTGTAGCCTATATAATTGGTTAATCGTGAATCCGAAAGATCATTGTCACTGAAAATATCTGGAATACGAGACTTGCCTGAAAAAGCCATCTCAGGTAGAACTAATAGATCGATGTCTTCCGAATTTGCTTTACTGAGTACCGCATCTGCCCGACTAAGGTTTTTCTCGACATCTCCGACCTATGGTACGGTGTTGAGCTGGGTTCACATGCCATACCTTTGGAAGTTGGGATGCTTACTTGAGGAGCAAATTGTAAACAAGCAATTTTCATGATTGAGAATGTATGCGAATTAATGCGTGATACTTCCGGAATTTCAATATCAGCCAGGCAAAGGCAAAGTCTTGTTGCTATTGCAGTTTGTCTTGTATTGGGGTGTGATTAACAAGAAGGGGTATGAGTATATGATATGTGGAGGAGTGTCTTGATTAATCCGATCTCTGCGCTTAGTAATGCTTGATACTTGATGCGGTTAGCTTCGTTCGCTCAACCTCTCTCACCTCTGATCTCCAACTTCTGATGAGCTTCAATAAAAGTTCAGCATTCTTTCTACGAGGACATTCGTTAAATATGTCACTTAACTATACATATGGTTCCTTCTAGGGTGTTCATTCCTTTCGCATAAATTTCCTTTGATTAGGTATTTCTAGGCAGTTCTATGCCTAACCTAACCCTTGTTTTAGGACTTTTCTTTTGAGGTGATTCAATATTGAGAATGAATTGAACCTTCTGGAAAGAAATCAAATCTTCACAGCTTGCAAGATGTTATCGATTTCCAGTGTTTTCGTCCCAGTTTCTCAATTCCACTTCATCCCACGTAAATCGATTCAGAGCCAAGGCAATCTGATCTTCATCCCGAAAGAAAGCTCGCAATCTTGGGACACATTCCCGGACCCCTAGACTGAAGTCTTGCAAAATACGGCTATTGGGTGTTGAGCGTAAATATATGGTAGTCGGTACGCCATCATGATCTCAATAAATAACACTTCATCTTACCTGGCTAGATACTGCCAGTTGCTTTGAGTGTTGATGTCCAAACAATCTTCAATACTGTATGGTATTATATTGAGAGCAGACTAACCTACTTCAGCGACATGGTACTTTTTTCGGAGCACCATTACCTTTTTGGGAGGTGGCCATAGTTTGCTGTGTCAATATACATATAGTTGTTGGATTCTTCGATAGTTTGATATGTTCTACCTCTTTTGAAGGTGCTCTGCAATACTCGAGTACATTTATCAAAACAACGTAGGGATTGCATCATGTTGTATCCATAATTCCATGCTCAGATACTCCAAAATACCTTTCGATTACTGGGATTTTCCACCGTCTTGATTTTATGTATATCTGCAGATGTACATTTTCTTGAGTCGTGATTGTCTCGCAACAGCTATGCACAACATCTCTTCATATTTACACCACTCTTATATTTCCTGCTTCCTTCCCATTTCTATCATTGAGGCTAGGGTAATCTTCATATTACATATGGGATTAAAGAATACATTCCCAGCGATTCCTACTTGCATGATATCAAAGTCTGATTTCATGAATCATCATTTGGTAAATTTTGGCTTAACGGTATGAGTTCATGGGGCATCACTGGTTAGGTGAGGTCTCGAGCAATCCAGATACCGTTGCTCAGCCTAACATTGGCTCGATGGTTCGTCATAAGTCACACTACTTGTGGCCCTTGGGTACCAGATTGTTCCTACCGACGACCGTGACATCTCTCCTCGTATTATTTTCTAATTTTCAAGACATTCTATATTTCCGCATCATGCATCTAATCAATACGAGTCCTTCTCCTACTTGCGTTGTATTATTTTACTGCAAGAAGCATCTGTGGTGTTCCACTCACTGATTCAAATTGTGAGCAAGGAACAATTGATATTCAGAACTCATGAGGTCAACTGAAACTTCTGGAAGATTTGGGTCGAAATTGGCCATTTTTTTAAAGTCTCCGACTCTATTTTCTGTAATTTGCAGCCACCTAGAATTGAGAATACTTTCCCACTTTTCGATGGCTGATGACGAAGATGCGTGCTTCTACGCTCCAAGTAGCCTGTATTCCTTCCGTATTCGGACCGGGTTCTGGTGAGTGACCTGGTTGGCGTTTGGTCGAGATTGAGGCTCCTGCTCTCGAACATTAAGACTGTGGACATGATTGAGGATGAGTTCAAATCACTGAATTGGAGAAAATTAACATCAAATACACAACCATTCGTTAAACAAACACTAGAAAATCATATCCACCTGTCCTAACTTCACTAGCCTTCCTTTTGTTTCTCGTCCTTTAAGATTTTGTGGTATATCTATTACAATTTTCTAGATACTAGGTGAATGAATATTCCTATGTAACCATATTGAAGTTGAACATTTGGCATATTCTCATCTCAAGAAAGGTTTCGTACTATCATCCCAGTGGGTCTCTATCGTTCGCTATTCATCAAGTTCGGCGTACATATATAAGGGTCTCATTGCTCACTAGAATTCTTTCCTGTATAATATTGTGCTATTACGTCTACGGCATCATCTACTTATCCCAGGTAAACTATAGCTAAAACTTTACTGTACCGCCATTACGCATTCTCACGGTATATTAACTTCTTCAAGTACACAAAATCTCCAAGTATTCGTCTAGACTTTCACGTTGTGATCTCACCACCACCGTCACCGCTCACTTTCATTGTCACAGATTCGATAGTGTGCAACATTATTACTTCTGTTTGCGACACTTCTGCTGATAGACAGTCGTGATTCCTGAATGTCTTATTTATTATCCTCCTCTTCGTATCGTATTTTGCAATCCTGAGCTGCGATTCACTTCATCTTTCCCTTGCGCCGATTATCAGAAACATTTGTTGCTCGCTTACTTTCTCGTTTCTCTGTCCGCTGCGATATTTAGATAGTGTCGGGAGATATTTAGCATGCAAGTACTTTTAGCATATAAAGCGTTGTTCCACTCATGAAGAGGGAGAAGGAGTGAATATCCTTCCTTAGGATTAAGTGAGGAAGAGAGAACGCAGTGAAAGTAGATCGTTCTTTTGTGTAAACCGCTAGTTCTCGAGTTCCTATACTTGCAAATTTTATTCTGATCTCCTTTCATGGATCAGTAACATCATTTCGCCTCTGATCATTTACAATTTTCTTTTGAATGAAGCCCTAGACTGTAGCAACAACATAAACTTGTATATTGTAGTGATCTTTGAACTCACGAACTACCGTGTCTTTTATATTAGCAAATTTCCTTGTATTCGGGTTCATTCACTTATTTGATGCTTTTTACACTTTAGTATCTATCTTTACCCCCTCTCGTCACTTGACTAGACCCGCATACTCTGATTCGAATCATAGTAGTCGTGTTACTAATAGGGATATGAAAAGACATTCTTTTCAAAACACAGCGTTATATCATATATATCAATCTACTTTTCTTGTATTAGTAGGTTTTTCAATAAATTTAATGGATATCAAATATGAAACATGAAGGGAGGGGCAGGGGGGAAGAGGGAAGGAAAGTTAAGAATATATTATTATATGAGATGATAGTGGAAATTCTTATATATAATTTTAATTACCATATTATAAGATATGGTAATTATGTGATCGAGGCAATAGTAGACCATTTGGACTCGTTAGTCATATGGTGTTAGTTCATGTCTTTGAAGTTTTAAATGATGGCCACATCAATTTTACTCCTCTAGTTTCTTATGAATCTCCATTTCTAGTCCCATCCATTATCGATTCCTATGGCGTAGATTTTATACACAAAATATCGTCGGACAGATTAGTTTTGTCATTCCAGGATAACCCTCAATATACCGTCATTATTTCAACAGTTTCGTCGTCGCTGTGTCGACTACACCATCTATCTATCTTTCATATTTTCGTTCATTCCCAACACCGACGTAACCTGATGCTAGACAGGCCAAATACTCTTAATAGAGCCCTAACCTATACACTTCCCTATGCCCACCAGTCAAACTCTTCTACTCAAAAGTCAGCGGCAGCGCTTCTCACAAGCTTGCGAATCTTTCGATGAATATAGATCCGCTCTCTTATATCACAATCGTGATATCAATTAAGCATCGCTTATCCCCATCCCGATATTAAGACGGAGGTTACAGTAGTAGGAGTAAGGTCCCAGTCCAAAAGTTATAGCTGACTCAGTAGCCTAAGTTTTGCATCTCCACATCAGCCCTCTAGCGTCGAATCTCTTCCATGCTAGATCATATAAACCATTTTTCCTTATGCCTCCAATCACAAATTATAACCTAGAATCATAGTAGGGTGGTCAAGAGGATTTTATTTTCAGCAGGATTCTCGATGTCTAGAATTCTGTTCTGGTGCTAGCTCTGAGTCTCTGCGATAGACACAGACGGTTCGGCGCTAGTTATCTAGGGAAATAGCAATAATGAATCTGTCGCCGAAACCGACAATGATTGTCGTGATTAGTCGCTGTTACTAATTGGTATCTTTCACATTGTTAAATCTTTTAGTAAGACTCGAGTAGTTAGTCTGTACTTCTTGTCTTCTTGGAACGAATTTCTTGTAGTGTGGATTGCTCGGCTGTACTTTCAAGCTTGAAGCACCATCGGCATTGTTGGTGACTTTTTAGAGTTACCTTTTTAAAATCTTTGTGGATGGAGTATGTGTTTATATAGATCTTTTACGAAAGGCATATGCAATTGTTTAGTACTATAATTTATAGTGAATATTTTAAAGGTCGGTTTATATACCTCGTCCCTCCTAGATGACTAAATTCTTCCCACTAATAAACCAAACTGGGGAGATACACTCCTAATTATTCACAGCATCACTCTATTACCCAACTTTTCTTCTCTACAGCAAACGTCAATGATTATCCGTATATATAAGCAGTCCAGGTAGCTAACCACAGAGATCATCACAATGAGTGTGGGTTTTGATGGTATACCGACTCCAAAAGCAGGCGACAGATACTGTAGCAAGCGTTGCAATACTGATCTGGTCAACACGCAGCTGATTGACTATATGAGGTGTAGCAAATTCAGGCAGGAATGCAAGTTCGCACTTCTGTTATTTGTTGGTGTTCATTTTCTATTTCACTATCAGAATCCCAAAAATGTATAATTGCTGTTGTCTGAATGACACTCGCAATTATCTGCTTCAGCTGTGAGTGTAAATCTGAGGAGAATAAGCATAGGAACTTAGTGAAGTAGCTCGCAGTTTCAAAGTATTAAGCACTCGTTGCTAACGTCTTTATTACTGTACTGCTACTTATTGTATATGTTCTTTCGAGAGATGATATCATCCCATGCACCGGTATTTATAATTGTTGCTATCCATTCATTTTGCTACCTTTTCCGTGAAACAATTGTTGCACGCTGGCCTATTTAATCAAACTAAATCAATATCACTCTCTACAAAACAAGGAACCATATGCCACCATTTTGCGCGTTGAAATCTCTCTGGTATTGGATAAGTCGTTTCTAGATTGGAAAGCTGCAGTTGTATCGTGTGTTTATATATTGATATATATGTATAAATCCATAAAAGAAACATGCGAGGATCTCAGTAATTCTGTGGAAGAGGTGGATATGCTGTGGTAGCAGTGGAGAAATCGTAAATTCTTAACACAGAGTGAAGAGGAGAATTAAATTTCCAGTCCTATTCAAAGTCAAGTTGGCGTTTTGAGACAGGTATAAAACCTTCTCTACCCTGGTCTACCTAGCTGTTGTAGTGGAGGATTAAGGAAACCTCATCTCGAGGTTTATTGAATAAAAGTGATCTTACAGATTTGCAGTTGGTACTTTTTTCTGATAATTTAATTACAGAAATTTTCAGCGTACCATGTAAAAGCAACACTATTGCCACCAATATGATATGGCTAACAATTCACCACGCAAGCTTTCAATTTCCATTGTCGCTTCAGCGGCTTCACTTCTCCCATTATCGAAGCTTCGTAACCTTGACCACCGCCTTATTAACAAAGTTAAATCTCTTTCCGAAACTGATTGAGACTCATCCCAAACCCACATACACAAGCCTCAACTCTCCTATAGTTTTACTTCATGGAATCTCACTCGCTCATCTCACCTCATCTCATCTCCCATTCTCTCTTTTGATCTCATTATAAATTTATAATGGTAGTTTCTTGGCCTGTGTTGCTAGCTAGAGCTTAGAAGAGCTAGTTTTCTAGATCATGATTCATTTGTTAGCTGAATGGAGTGGAATTAGATGGAATGGATAATACTCGTAGGTTGCTCGAGTAGTATGTGATAGGCAATGTATCTACCGATACATTTTCTTTCTCTTGTTGTAAGTTGTTTGAAAATGTGGGAGATTGGTGTTACTGTATAGTACAGTGGTGGATTAATGAACTTTGTATAGAAATAGCTTTTTACTAGCAAGTTCTACGAGTATACAAGATTCGCTGGGAGATTTTAGCTCTACTCGAGTAGTGTAGTGTAGTGTAGTGTAGTGTAGTGGGAGTATGCGGTTGGAACTTGAATACTTAAAGTTTGATTTCTAGGGGATATATGGAGATGGAGATATGGAATAAAGCAAGGAAGAAGAATGGAGAGGGATGGAAATAAATGGAAATAAATAAATGAATAAATGAAAAGCGATTCTCATCCAACTACGAGTACTTAATCATATACTACCCGAGTACTCGGGTACACTAGATTGGTAATTTACCTAGATACTCGAGTAGAACTTCAAGAAGTATAATTATATGCTAACAAATGACTTGTATGTATATATCTATTCATTTCTAAACTACGATAAAAGTTCTAAATTCTAATCCATTCAGACTTCTACAGTATCCAAGTTATAGATAGTTACCTGGTAACTACCTATCTCCAAACACCGCTCTGACATTCCACTGGCAAGATTCATACATATACTCTATGCCCCCTCCTTTAAGCACCACAACAAAATCACCCCTTCAAAACCCCCTCGATAATCTTCACCATGTCCAACAATTTCTCCTCCTGTAATCTCCGCCCTACAATCTGTAACCCTACACTCCCACCTTCATATTTCCTGGGCCCAGAATCTTCCTCGTCACCCTTACCCTCATCGTCCCTCCATAATCCCTCCATCTCCGTCCTCCTTACCTCACCCTCTCCCTCACCCTCACCAGCATCCGCACCCCCCCAATAATCCCCCCCTCCACCTCCCCAACTGGCAAACAAAAAACCGGTAAATCCAACCCATTAAACACACTCGTATACCCCCAATACCTCGCCTCCCCCCTCTTACTCGCCACACTTACCCCCCCAGGCCCCACCAAACAATCCACACCCACCTCCCTCATAAGCGTCGCATACGCATCTTGTAAACGGTTTCTCTCCCGGTGCAACGTCCACTGTTGTGCTATCGTTCGATCCTGCGTACTTTCCTTGTGTAATAACCAAGATAAGAGGGGAGTGGCGGGTTCGGAGGTCTGGGATAGGATATTGGTGTATTCGGTGCCGCCGTCAAGAAGGTAGAGTGCGTCGATTATGGGGATGAGTTGCCGGTGGAGGTGCGTGGGAAAGGGGACGATTTCGTGTCCGGCGTTTTGTAGTTTGAGAGTGGTTTGGTGGAGGATGCGGGTAATGGGGGGGTGGGGGTGGTGTACTCCGTCTGTGTATATCATGCCTATCCTTAACTTCCTGTCACTCCCATTCCCATTATCATTCCCATAAGAAACCGACGTCGATAAAGACAAAGATTCCCTCACACCCCAAGGAATAGGAAGCAACCCCACCTCCCTTATCCAAGGCTCAGCATCCAACAACGTCCTACAAAACAATTCCACATCCGCGACACAAGTCGCAATAGGACCCACGACCCCCACAATACTCTCCATACCCTCATGCGCACCATTCAGTCCCGAATGCGGCAACCTCGCCACTGAAGGCTTCAAAGCATACAATCCACAATTTAACGCAGGAACCCTAACACTCCCCCCAATATCCGTCCCAATTCCCAAAATCGACCCATGCATAGCGATCAGCGCCGATTCGCCACCCGATGAACCACCAGGAGAAAGTGTCGTGTTGAGTGGATTGGTTGTGGCACCATAGAGATTGGAGTCGGTTTCTAGGGATAGGAGACTTTGCGGATTAGTGGTTTTGACGTGGAATATGGCGCCTTGTTCTCGTAGAACTTTGATGCATATTCCTTCTTGCGCGGCATCCGTACAGAAGTTATCGGCCCAGGCTACGAACCCTGATGTCGAGGGTGTGTTTTGGAGGTAAATGTGTTCTTTGACGGAAATTGGTAGGCCGTGGAGTGGTCCGATTGGTTTACCTGTTTTTTCCATGTGTGCGTCTAGTTCTGCGGCGAGGGAAAGAGCGGAGGGATACATGGTCCATGCTAGGCAATTTGTCTATTCAAATTCATCAGTTATGCTATCCCTTAAATATTCCCATATCAATCATCAATCTTCAGAACTTGACATAGGTTAAAGGAGAGAAAAAACCAGGCAAACAAACCCCCTGCTGCGCAACTGCACTCGCCATACAAAATGCAGTCGTAACCTCCACAGCCGTATACTCTCTCGCTCGTATTTTCTCCAATAAATCCACCGCAGTACTATACACAATACCTATCTCGCGCTCACTCAATAATCCACATGTTTTTACAAGATCGACGGGGCGTTTGGATTGGAGGAGATGTGGTGAAAGGAGCCATTCGGAGGGGATGGAAGAGGTGATTTGGTAGCGGCGATGGGCGGCGATGGATTGCCAGGTTGGGGGTTGGGTGGTGGAGGAGATGGAGGTGGGGAGAGTGTTGGTGGTTGAGAGGGAGGAGACGAAATGCTCTTTCGTAGAAGGAGTTTCGTTTTGCATTGAAGCTGCTTGCCCATGTTGCAACTCTGCAATAAAAGGAGCCATGACTAGAATTTGAAATGTAGAAGAATATAGGATATAAAAAAATATAAAGTTTTCAGACACTGATCTTGTCCCCCTCTCCTTTATATAACCCAGAAAGCAAGTACGAACATGCACACTACCACACTACCCACCAATATATACCGATACATACCATATATAGTAACTCTACTCGGTACGAGTCGAGTACACCCATAAATCCCCATCTTTAAAATAAAACTCTAACAGACGGAAGGAAGGAAAGAAAGAAGGAAGCACTAGCTAGCAACCATCCATTCATCTTAGATATCCGTCCAAGCAACTATAGTACTATACTATTCATCCTATCAGTATCATACCGCTTCTACCTAGGTACGTAATCCATACGCACTATATCCTCCCCATAAAACCCAAAACATAAATTCCAAAACCTAGCACCTATCACCTAGCACCTACCACCTCAAAAAGGAAAGATCAAGGTAGGTTATCTATCCGGTAGTGATTATCTAGTCCCTCAAATCAGAACGAATATACCATACCATACCACACCCATCCCATCCCAACATATACCGGTACCTTTTGTAAGATCTTATCTATAATAAGGTTAGTTGGTTGGTTGGTAATTTGATAAGGTTGGTGGGGTTAACTTACCTACATACCTAATACCTAACGTACTCGCGTCCACCTTCCCCTCCCCAGCCCATCTAAAATCCTCGTCTCCACTTACCCTTCTTACCTTTTTACCACTCCACCACCACTCACCACTCCCTCCTTTTTTTCACCACTATCCACCACCACCACTTCACCACACCCACCCCTCTATATTCCAATATTTCCACGCCGTCATTCATGTCAATTCCGATCAGGTGAAGCTTGAGGTATTGAAAGTCTTGGTATTATAGTTAAATCTTCAGAATAAAAAGAGTACCGTAAATATAAAAGAGCTGCAGTTTGAAATTTGTGATTTGAGATTTCTTTTCCTATTACTGTTATTGTTATTGTTGTTATTATTGCTGTTATCTATCTTATATTCCTAACTATATATCTATTCATTCAGTTATTTGATTCATACATATTAATTTACTATATTTCGAGAATTAAGTACCGGTATTGAAGAGTTCAAGAGTCAGCAAGTAGAAATGGGTTCAATTATTACCCCTAACGAGAACGATACCAAGACTGAGATTGAATCGGATTTGAAATCTACTTCTACATATACACCCACTTCCTATCCCCAAACCAAAGAAAATACCATTCGAGTCTACAAACACCGTGGTAATTCTATTTCCATCTCACCCCTCCCT